GGTCCATATGCGTCCTTTATACTGTCCCTTGACGGAGAGATCAAGAAGTGCTTCTCATCGCTGAAAACGATCCGCTTCACAAATTCGTCGTTGAGTTTTGGCAGTAGACGCTGGCAGCATTCCGCGCGATTCTTCTGCTGCTTCTCGTTAACGCAGTTGACCCTTACTCGAAGAGTGATTATCAAATAAGCCACAGACACCGAGGAGCTAAGCTTGGACACCAATTTGAATCCTTGTTTCTTCAGAATACGCTGAACCGACGTCCGCGGAATCCCAGTGCGCTTGGCTATCACGGTTGCTGGAACGGTCGGCTCGTCTCCCACGACATCGCAGACCATTGCGGAGTTGTCGGGGCTACAGGAAGTCAGCGGTCTTCCAGATCCTAAGCGACGATGCCCAGGAATCTGTCAGTGAGCGACTCGATTGAGAAAGTTGCGTATCTGCTTGTTGCCGACCGATATCCCATAAGTCGTCTTGAGCGCGTCCGCAATGGCAGACGGCTTCATATTTTGATGCCGACATAGGAACCACACGAGTTCCTGTTTCCTTTCATCAAGCAACATTCTAGTCCAATTTACCCAATCACATTCTTCTGCCGCTTCAATCGGTGCGACGTATTCCGCCTTGGATCAGGCCACATGCACAGTGTCTCTTTTTATCTGGGCACCCCTATATATGTATATATATTTATTTATATTTATATATATATTGGGTTGTCCGAAAAGTTCATGCCGATTTCGAACACCCTTGCTTTATCGAGTGTTTTGAAAAAGATCGAAAGGAAAAAGTGTAAGTCTTAGTCTATATCCTTCTTAAGTTATGTTGATATTTTTTAAAGTTTCTTTGTATAGGGCTTGAGTGAAAATGAAAGACAATCGCGTGCATTTTCGCCATCTAATGCTTTGCTTCTATCGCAAATTAAAGAATACAGCTCAGACTGCGAGAAAGATTTGTTACATTTGAGTAGACAATGCTCACTAAAAGGCAAGATGTAAACGCAGTATTAAGGTCTCCAAACCTTGTCCTACAGTACAGTTGGTTTTTTAAAAGAATTCTGATGTATTTCCTGAGCTTAAATCGCCTGATTTTCGTTAAACCTTTCTACAAGCCTTAGCAACAACTGATCCAAAGAAGACAGGGATTTGGTTGGTGATAAATCGTCTCCAACAAAAACCATAGGACATTTTTGTAATGCAAATGAACTTCTGCAAGACTTGATATTAATCCGAGGGAAACAAGAATCATCAACTCACAAGTCCACGCTTAGTACCATTAAGGTGAACAGGAGGTACACTAGCTGTAGAACCACGAACAGATGCCATTTCTGAGATTGAGCACATTTCTGTGTTATTTTCCATGATGAGAAAGTATGGCAAACTGCACCTCCTGCAGGCAGATCACATGGACCATTCTCAGGGCTATCGATGTCCACGAAAAGGCTAACGCTCCGATGCAGTTCGACAGGTACTACTGGAATGAACAACAAAAACTATTCTGACTCCACCACTCTAGATCTAGAAAAAACAGGATAGTGCAACAGGTTTCAGATTTTTCGATCAGTTTACGAATCCAATGAAGATGGCAATGCTGTTCACGACTGTGATCCTAAGCTGTGTCAAGTGTTACTTGGCAGACAAACTGCTCCATGGAAACCAAATTTAACTTATTCATCCGAGTATTCCTAAAGATTACTTTGCCCTTATTCTGTAGTACAATGGCATGAAAGATTGACTAGACAACTTGGAATTCTGTTCAAATCCAGTGGTCCCCAAGAATGAAGATTATACAAGGTGCGCCATAAATATGTTAACAAAAAATCGGCCCCCAGAAACCGCAATTCATATCGATACAAGATCCTACGCCTCCATAGGATAGACCCACTTCAAATACTTTCTACACTGCGTTGCATAATCGTGAAGCCACCCATGAATTACACCAAAACTCACGTTCCAGGGCACTTTAGGAAAAAGCTTAATAAAAAATTATGCACTACTCGGACCCTAACTTATAGACCGACAACGAGTTCCATCTCAATAACATAGCAATCTCCCTACTTTTCTTCGGAGAAGGTCACTTTGCCTATGTTGCACAATGATACAGCCATCTCAACTGCTCCCGTCGTTTTCCGTTCCCACATTTTCACCACAGTTGCTTAATTTGTGTCAATTTCGCCAGTTTCAGGTAAGAGTGAAGAAAATTTGTTACCCGATTTTGAGAAAGGTCAAATCCCTGCGAAAATGGAACAGGGACTGTGGAATCGCAAAATCGCTCGAGATTTGGGCCGATGCCAGTCATTTGTCGACAATTTCTTCAGCAATCCTACAGAGATGGGATCAAAAGGAGAACGGAACGTTTTTCGTTACTCTTGGAGAAATATAAGCGAAAGATTTTGAAAGAAGCGTCGAATACGAAGAAGTCATGTACGGAAATCACATCCTCTTTGAAGCACAATGTCTCGATGATTACTATTCGGAAATTGAAGGAAGAGTCTGAGTTTATCGTTGATGGAAGATGAGGAAGGCACTCTTTATGATCAAAAAGCATCGCGATAACCGGATCGGTTTTGCCACGAATTGCATTCGAACCGACAGGACAGGTGCCTTTTCAGTGCTTGTTGTCTACTCTTCTTTCTCTTGATATTCGTTTTCCAGGTTGTTTTTTTTCTCGATGAAAAAAAGTTCAGCTGCTCTACTCTAGTTCCGGTTCTACTGGCACGATCTGAGGAAAGATTAGCTTCAATTTTCTAGACGAAATTTCAAGTGAGCCGAGTCATGGTATGGGCGGAAACTCCTTCTCGTTAACCTCTTCATTATGGTTTGTTCTGGAGATGCTCAGCTATGCCGGTTATCAAGTCGTAATGCGCCGTACTCTTCTTCCTTTTTGGTGCCATAATCGGCAGCAGAACCTCGTATTTATGCAGGTTAATGCCCCGATTCAAGTCAGTCGGGGCAGTCATGTCCCATTTAGCCGCCACCAAATCGACCTTCTGCCCCGACTGGTTAACAGCTCTGACATGAACTAACTGTGGGCTGATAAAAGCAATCGGCAACGGTTGGGGCACCAAGTTAAGCAGGAACTCACTGGCAGCCTTTGCTCTAGCTTAGGCAATCGTATTTTTGAGGGCAAGTAGAAGGTATTAGGGCTCAATTAACCCTTTGACGGCAATGCACCCACCCACCACTATGTTCGGCACATGGGACAATGCCATGTGCCACCATGATTTTTTGTTTCTTTGCACGTTTAAAACTTATTCAATCATTTCATGTTCCCTAACGGACTTTATAGTAATTGTATTCATTGTGGCTCGTATGGATGTTCGATAACAGTTTATTTATTCAAACATACAGTAGCGCTCAAAAGTCTTGGGTGAGATGGTTCCTCAGCCGCACTTTTCAGTCGTAACTCCTTTCCTACTGGATCTAATTTTGCGAAATTCATATATTTGGAGCGTGGGTGTATTGTGAATATTTACCACTATTAACTTGCAATCTGGTCATGTTCCAAATATTCCAAAGAGCATGAACTCAAAATCGACTGAAAATACAGATGATAGTCCTTCTGGAATCTATTTCTTTTTGTCATGTCTAAAGTGTACGAGCGGTAATGCCGAACACAATAGAATAGAAAAACGCACATAAGGTGCGAATAAGTGCAGACGTCAACAACTTTACTTTTGGCAAAATCTGCTACCGCAACAAACACCTTGCTCTATCTGTGGATATTGCAGCTTTGCAGTCAAATAGTGTTGGATAGGGTGAAATATGCTCTAGTTAAACATATCCAAATTTCGCGCGATTTGTTCTACTAAGAAAAAAAGTTATGAACGAAAAAGCGTCAAAGCATTTCACCGAAGACTTTTGAGCGCTACTGTATATAGTTCAAGCATACGGCTTATAGTGGTATACAGAACTCCATCAGCAAAAACAAAGCAGATGTTCAAAGTTCTCAGTGATCTAATTGCTTGCGAGTTCGTTGTAGTAGTTGTGGGAGATTTTAATTCGCCAGTTTTTTCATAATGCCAGTGCTCATGGGGATGGCTCCATAGAATCGGAATTCCACGAGCTGGTGTACACTTACAACTTAACCCAACATGTCAAGGAACCGACTAGGCTTGACAGGGTCTTTGACTTGTTCCTAAGCAGTAAGCCGGACCTGGTTAGCAAACAAAAAATTCGTCCTCCTGTTGGACATGGTGATCATTGCAGCATTCTTCTTTACATCATTGGGTATGACAGCATGACTGTGAATACTTTTCGCAGACTTTACTCAGCATGCAACTTTGACTTTTGGGTTGTGATCTTTCCCGCATTCGTTGGGTTAACCTGCTCGAAAGCTGTGATAGTGTTAATGCAAAACACGAGTTGTTATGAAGGTGCTGCACACCGCCATCGACTATTATGTCCCTTGGGAGCGGACGACACGTTTAAGTCCATCCCTTTACCGCGGAACTTGAGAAACATGAGTGAGCATAGGGATGCCTTTTTTATGAAGCAAGAAGGACTGGGATTTTGTCAATATATAATGAATTCACAAAACGTTTTCTTTCCCGTCTCAAAAAGTACTTCAGCAATATGGAAAAGAAAATTGTGGGAGCTCAGGGTGAGGGAAGCTTTTACAGGTATTTGAATAGTAAAATACGTGATAGAAGGTGCATTGGGTTTCTAAAGAGTGGCGATCTTGTAGCATGTAGTCCAGCAGACAAGGCCAACATGTTTGCTGATCCGTTTTCTAAATTGTTCACGAGTGATGATGTTCGTGTTCCCGAATTTTTTTCGCCTGGTGTCTCTACCATGAAGGGGCTGCCACGGTTCTATGGGGATCGGCTGTATAAGCGGATCATGCGTTGGCCTAAGTCTACGTCTGTGTCACCTGACTTCATCCCGTTGGTTTTCATCCAAAATATAGCTGATATTATCTCTGAGCCGCTGGCGTATATTTTCAATCAGTCACTTATGAGTGAAGAAGTACCGCAACGCTGGAAGCACTCTTTCATCACCCCTGTTCTTAAGAAGGAACCTTTATCGGACCCGGCTAACTATCGGCCTGTCAGCATCACATCTTTGTTTTGCGGACTCTTTGAGAAAACTATCAAAGAGCATAATCTTGAGTATGTTGCCACTCACGGAGTCATACTACGAGCCCAACATGGGTTTATCCCTGGGAGGTCAGTTGGGACAAATATGATTGAGAGTTTGGATGACTGGACTGCTGCGCTCGTCAACAATTTTTGCTGTGATGTCATATACTTGTAAAATGGATTTCTAATTATCTACATGGCAGGACCTTTCAAGTCCGACTAGGGCAGGCATACTTCGATAGAGAGTGTTGAGTGGAGTGCCGCAAGAAGGAATCCTTTCTCCGGTGCTGTTTAATTTGTACACTGCTGAGATACCTAGTTTATTCGATGGGTTACATGTTGTAATAAAAATGTATGCTGATGATGTAAAGATTTATATACAGTCGTTACCGAGCTCAAGGACCGGGAGGTGATACAGCAGGCCATTAACTTGTTGAGTGACTGGGCTAAGCGATGGCAGCTCCTCTTGGCCCCACATAAAACGATGTATATGACGATTGGCAACCATTCTGCCCCTTTTCCATCCTGCCCTTATACCATGGATGGGGTTACCATTTCCCGCGTAAACTGTGGAAGGGATCTAGGCTCTCTTTCCTCCGGCGCTCTCGACTTTTCCATCCACATTCGCTCTAGGTGTTAGCTAGCATTACTGCGCACGTCGCACATTTTCAAGGGGTTGCCTACCACGAACAAGTCCATCCTTCTCAAAGCTTATAAGACATATGTTCGCCCTCTGGTTGAGAGTGGAGCCACAGTGGTCCATCCCAACAGGAGAAAGGACGTCATTGCCCTTGAAAAAGTACAAAATATCTTTGCGTGTGTAACTCTTTTCCGATGCAGATGCTTTTTCTATTCTGGTATTCCTAGAGCCTCCATTCGTAACAGACATTTCTCAACATTGGAATCACTGCGCAAGGTGTTTGATGTGTGTATGGTTCACAAACTTCTGTACGAGTGTAACGATTTTGGCTCCTTTGATGTTTATAATAAAACGCACTCTCGAACGAGAGGTGGGCAGACTAACATTATTCTTCCTGGGGTCTAGAACAAATTTCAGAGCCAGGAGCTTCACCTTCAGAGCTGGTAGACTGTACGTAAAAGTAACCAAAAATCTGATTGTCCCTGACACTTTGAATAGGTTCAAGGGTATTATGACAGTGGTTCTAACCAAGCATGAGCTTTCCTAGTTTTCTGAGATTGATCAATTGATTCCATGCTTGTGTCTTTGTCTCATATGTGGGTTGATGTTGCATTATGTGTTATATGGTTTTCGTCTTAGTTTGCTTTTTCTACTGCTTTTATCTTCTGTTTTGCATGGTCTATTATGTTGATTTTGGAAGGATGTCTTTTACTGCGTTTGCCTTAGCAGCGTAATAAACAACATATATGGTCAATGGAGTACTACTGAAGAAAACTAGGTA